GGAACCAGAGAGTCACCGGGTCAAGTCCCCACATGGACCAAGTATGGTGTGAGTGTGGGCTAGCAGCTGGAGAAATGCAAGGTTGTTGCCTGGGCACAACCAAGGTGCTCTCAAGTAAGACACCAACCCCCCCAAAAAACTGCTCCAGGGGCGTCATATTAAGGCTTACTGTGCACTACTAATTGCACATGTGTGTTGTGTGTAATAGGAGGGATATGCAAAAGTCACATTTCAACTGCCAACTGCCTTGTGTAGGTTGACAAATAAAGAAATTGTCTTAAAAAGTGTGTCTGCTGGGAGTTAAAGTGGATGGGACTGAAATCTGCATTACCAGAACGCCTGATAAGGACCATTCTGATGAATTTGAAAGTAAGGAAATCCAACTGTTTTTGTTTGAATTACTGGATAAAGGATTGATAATGATGGATCGTGTAGCCTCAGCTCTACAGGGACCTTGCAGAACAACTTCAATGGGCCATGAACACTTCATAAAAGTATATGAATAAAAGACACTTAGTCTAAGAGGTGTTTTTACAATTTAGGATATAAAGCCAGCACAATGTATAGAGACCTTAAAACTTGTAATAGAAGGGAAAAGTAAGGTCAAGAAACACTGGTGATGCAATGTTCCCCAAAGCAAGTATATAATATTCATATCTTTTTGTCTGGAGCCTCAGGCACATAAATCTTGTGTTGTCTCTAGTTTATATTCAGTCTTTTGTCTTTCCTGTTTGCAATCAAAATGTTAATAAAACAACAAACAACAATGCAAAAATTCTTACAGCAAATAACTGCTTAGTAGACTTAGTATGTTGAAGTCATTTTTGTGGTTATTTAGAGGCTAGGATTTACTGCAAGTGCACCTCGTGGAGTCCAATTAAGAATATCTTCGCTCCTTGTTGACGAATGAGTGACAAGGCCTCAGCAGATGTACCGTTGAGGTTTCCCTCAGAAGAGCAATCTACGCTACAGAGAGGCAGGCCTGGCTGTCTAGTTAGCACCTCGGCGGCGGCTCTCTGTGGTTCCCCATGACTGGAATGAAAGCTATGCAGCATGACATTTCATCAATATAAGGAGGGCGGGCTGAGGGGGTTTAATTCCTAATCCAGCTGGTTTATGTGGGCTCAGGCCTACTCAAGAGCCTATTCAGATGCATTAGAGGTACTGCACGTGGAAGGACAAGCATGACAGGACACTGGCACCATTTGGACTTTGTGCTAGTAGATTCTATGTCCTGTTGAGAAAGATAGGTCTGAAGTGTCAGAAGCCTGTATTTTCATTTATTATTCAATCCACAAACAGTTTCCGTGGTGTGGCGTATCACTGAAGCAGAATTGATAGAACTGTCAAGTACGTTTTGTTTAAAATCCGAATGATGTTTGGGCACAGGACAAACTTTGGTTCGTGGTGAAGCATGTTCATTCAATTCAAGTTTGAAATTTGGTGTTTAAAAATACTAAAGTGGGTAATAAGGATTCTAATTAAGGATAGACCGATACATCGGCCGGCCGATATATCGGGCCGATATTTGAGTTTTTTTACTTGTATCGGCATCGGCCGATACGAGCGTGGGTTCGCGGATTAATTTTTCCCTGGCATGATTCACAGACAGGCATCCACGGGCAGCTCTGTGTTGCCGGAAGACCCTGCAGCGCACATGCAGCGAATCCTACTGTGTACAGTAGTTGTTGTTTTATTTATGCTTCAGCTTAAATATTTGTTTATTTTATAAAGACATTACTGGAAGATTTAAGAGCACTGAACTCTTTTTTTTATTTGAATGTGTAATAATAATAATAATAATAATAATAATAATATTCTACCTGTTCTACCTCAACTTTCCATTTTGTTTTAGTATTTTTTACTGTTCAATAAATGTTTCTTATTTTAAACTTGAGACCTGTAATATTTGTTATCATTGTGTCATTTTTTTTTTTCTGTAAATTGAGGGAGCAAAAGCAGTATCGGCCCCAAATATCGGCTCAAGAAAATCGGCAGTCCATAATCAGTCATCGGCTAAGGGTGATGGAAAAAAATCGGTATCAGCATCGGCCCTAAAAAATCCATATCGGTCTATCCCTAATTCTAATGGATATTACAAATAACCCTTGGACACGTCAACACTCTGAGAGCTGGGAGACTCCAATGCAATTTAATCACCAGAAAACTACACTGTTGGATGGATGGCACCAGAAGTAAGCCTGTGTTGTTAGTAGTGTTGTACGTTATACCAATACTCGAAGAGTATCACAGTACCATGCTATTAAAGAGGTACAATACCCCGTTTTATTAGTTCCAGTATTTTAAGAGTGACAGTGCTTAAATAAGAGCTGTACTTCCTATGAGTTGCATTGATGATCCACTCCTTGCAGGCATGGTGGGAGAGGCCTGGTTGCAAATACAAATGCTTTATGCAGCTTGTCAAAGACCCAGACGCGTGAAGCGAAATATGGCATTATTTGGCTGCCGTAGCTGACATACATGGCAAGCCCACCACAAAGGCCATCTGTAAATATTTTAAACCTTCACAGACCCAAACAGCTAACACATCAAACTCAGCACAGCATCTCACTGACAGGCATGCCGACCTATTGAAAGAGTGACAGGTTAGTGAATGCAATAGATAACATAAACAGTGCCATGCTCTCAGATATAATTCAAGCGAGTACGATTTATTTTGTGACAAGCAGCAGTTAGACGAGGCAATTAGGGGCAATGACAGGCTAACTGTTTGGCTGACTTGGCTTTATCTTTTTAGCTAACTCACCAGTGTGGAACAACATCTCTGGGCAAATGCAACACTCATATTGAGAATATTAACAGAGTCTAAAAACCAGGCAATTACAGTTATGCAATGATCAATTTATACATGTTATGTAATCATGGCATGTATATTTTTGTTAGTAATTATTTATATTACTAGAAAATGCACTCAGTTGAGCTCAGACCTTTGCCAATGAGGTGTACTGAGTGTTATTAAATACTGTTTAATAAATGAGATGTGGTTGTCAAGAATTAGGCCATGAAATTACTGCAAATCATGTAAAAGCTTTAAGAACACTATGACAATTATTAATGTTTTTAAATGTACTAATTCATTGTCAAAAACACACCTACAGGTATGAAAAACAAACAACACTTAAAAGCATATAAACTACAATTTTTGAGCATGAAAATACTGAATAGAAGTGACATTAACTGTAAATCTGGCACTTCTAGCATTATTAGCCTGCGCATTACAGCAGTACACCAAAGTAGACTGAACAAAAATGGCTGATTACACCTCTTTGGCAGAGGATTTTTGCCATGGTATTGTTTCAGTATTGGTATCAAGATATTCAGGCAGGTATTATATTGAGGTCATAATTTTGGTATCATGACAACACTAGCTGTTAGCAAAATGAAAAAGGTTCATCCTCTGTATAAAAGCCATTTTAGGATATCTGATACTCGAGTTGTTGGGCTCAGCTCTGCATTGTCAGATATCACTTCATCAACCTCAGCTGCTGGACTAGGCTACGCTTTGAGATGAATGCTAATATTAGCATGCCAACACGTTCATGCCAGGTGCCATGTTAGCATGGCAATATGCTCACAATTAGGATCGTGTTAAAAGCTTATGTTTCACACGTTAGCATGCCAACATTAGTATGTTATGCGACCATTAATATTAAAGTACAGATAAAGAGTGGAAATTGTCTGCTAGTGGCGATAAATGAAAAGTCAGGGATCACCAAAGTCATTACGAGTCGCTGTCTGGGAACCATGGATGTGTGTGTATCGCTGAATGGCAATCTGTTCAGTAGTTGTCCCTCTGGATCAGAGTGGTGGACCAGTGGACCAACAGACTGACAGACTGGACACCACTGCCATTCCTAGAGCCATGCTGCTAATGTGGCAAAAAAACAAACACGTTTCCATGGAGAGAACATAACAGGTATCAAATATAGTTACCTCCCATAAGGAAATTAGATCAGCAACTGCAAAAACAAAGTGTGTTAAAGTCAACCGTTGATGTTTATCACCTGCTGCAGTCATCTGTTTATGTCAATGTATATTCTTAAGCGCTATAAGCCATGGACATTACACAAATTAAAAGACAGAACATGTATACAGTCTGAATTATTATGTGATGGCTTTAATAGACAATCCAGTATTTGACCTTGAGACCATTAATGCCTTGTTCTTCATTTGACCTTCCCTTTCTGAAGTCACAACAGCCTCAAAGCCATTACAAGAGGAGCTTATACCTCATAAATGCCATGACCTTGATTATGTAATGTAAGAAGCACACAGCAGACAAGGGGATAAGTACCTTATTCACAGTGTGTGATCTTCAATAGCAAGAGTGGGGTTGAGTTCGAGATCAAAATGTGAATTAGCTTTAACATCATACTAGCTTTAAGTTCAATGGAGAGTTTGACTTCCGGCCACGTTCTTTTATTAGCTTCACAGTCCAAATTAATAGCAATGCCTGTCTGTGCCAAGTTACCTGCTTGCCGCCACCCATTAAATTACCAGAGTTTAAGCAGCACTTCATGCTGTGTGTTTTCATCACAGCCTGGGGTGACAGCTCAAACTCTAACATGTATCTTTTGAAGTGATTTGTCTGCACTTTCAGCAATTAACACTCCACTTAACAGGAACTCAAAGCACTACCAACCCCATGACGGTTGATACGGTATCTGTAAGAATCAGATACAGCACCAACAAAACGAACTCACCAATCATTTCCTTGTCAGCATCTGTTCAGTGAAAGATGAGTACGCTGTCACCAGCAATTACCGCAGTGAGAGATAAACTTCACCACTAACTTGTCATTGGTAGCCCTTCCCTCTCCTTCGGGCTATTCATCCCTTCTTACCTCATGCAGTGCCCACCCTCCCCTCCACCACCACCACTGCCACCACCCACCCCGCTTCCCTTTAATAATAACCCACCTGCTTTGAGCATCCATCTGCCTAAACAGAAGAAGCCTCTCCTTGACAGTCACTGTCTAGGCACAAGCTTGCAGGCAGCAAAATCAAACGTGTTCTCCAAGAGGATTTAATATACAGTAAACCCCAGAAGGCAGCCAGTTTACACCGTCTATAAACCAGCTTCAGAGTCTCAGTGGGAGTGAGGACAGAGCTGTAGACAGGTAAACCACTCTTCCTCTCCATTTGTTTGTGTCTGTGTGTGACGAAGACCTGCATCCTGACCCTTGCTTCTTCGTGTTATCCAGGTGGATTACAGTATATGAAATGATAGAGGTAGAACAACTGGGGGATTTATGGGATGCTCTCGAGAGGAATCAGAGCTTTCTATTTAAAGGGAGACCGGATCAAAGAGTTGATTTTCACTCTGTTTGTTCTGTGCTGTTGGCATTGTGGTGTATGAAAGACTCATTCTTCTATCCTTTAATTACCTTCTATTTTCAATCTGTGATGAAAACACAAGAAAGTTTGGCAATGCAATTATCACCAGATAGATGAAATATTCAACTTTAATAAAGACAAAATTAATCTCGCTGCATCACACTCCTTCACACTCCTTCACACTCTCGCTGTTTGTCAGGTTATCATTTTATTTATCATTACTGAACTTTGAAAACATGGATGTACTGAGAGCATCTAATTTGGAGCATATTACTTCTGAGAATGGAGATCTCAAAGCAGCAATAATCTGCAGCAAGGCTTGGTGTAATCATATGAAGGTATTACAGGGTCACAGCTAACTTTAGCTTGGGAGCTGAGCACCATCAGTGTTTTTTGTCCTGCACTCAATATGACTCGGCTTCTCAATGACCACCGTATTAATGTTTGTAAGCCCACAGATCAGTCCTGAATATAACAATTTGCATAATCTTTCCTGTCAAAAAATCTTCGTCTTAATGCTTTTTGTGTTACATAAGCAGTAACTGCTACCATCCCTTTAGGAATTAATTTGTAAAGGCATCTGATACTTACTTCAGAGAACATTTAAAAAACAAGTTCAACAAAGCTTTTCGCTTAGGCTTTTGAACTGTCGTAACTGGTTGAATCAACACTGTGTTGTATCCCTATTAGCACAGGAAGTGTATATATTCCGCACTGAGTGTGATGCTCACAGGAACGAATAAGCCTCAAGTCATAATAAATAGGTTGACCTTTTCACCTTTCCTCACACATAAGCCTCAAAGCATGCGTAGACAGACATGGGCAGACACGGTAAATCAGGCAGTTTTATGCGAGTTATGCAACCTATGACACAACAGTTGGCTCTGACTGTCAACATAATGGGAATATCTTAATCTTTTGTAATTGGTTGTTTCAGGTATTTGTCTAGTCACAAATAAAGGCAACAAAGCGTTAAGGGGTTTCAGCAATCAAGATTTTGGATTTAAGAGAGAGTTGCTCATGTTTGCTTAGATTTTTTGGCTGTCTCAGACCATAGTAATAACATTTATTAATTCTAAAATTGGCCATAGTTCCCCCTTTAATAAAAGAATATTTCAGCCGCAAAATCATTTGGATATCAATTATTCACCACATCTTACCTTGAATTTGTGAAAAACACTTTTTCTCATTTCTACAGTGAATGGGGAATCCAAAAACATTTATCATTGAACATTGATCAATAATTGAAGTGACTGGGCAACGTGCTTAACAACAGCAAACCAATATAACAACTTCTGTGAACAAACACTCACAAACTCATGCCGTGTCTCATTTGTTAAGATAAAATCATCAACCTAAACCACCGCACACTGAACTGAATTTCTGTGATTTTATTAAGAGCAAACAACCCGCTTCTTCAGGTTTGAGGGAGAGACAGAAGTAGGACCTGCAGTCCATCTTTCTTTATAAAATCTTCTTCTCAGTCATCTACGTAATGGGATGAGGTTTAATCACATATTAATTGTAACTCTTGTACTCTTTATGAATCTTTTTTGTGTAAATTTATTATACGTTTTGGATGAATAGAAAATTTTCTTTTGAAAAATGTTTTTGATGAATGTGAAAGAAATAATATGGAAAAAGAAAAGTGAAATAACTGTGATAATTAGTCATGTGACCCATGTATATTTAGCACACCTGTGAGTGCTCATGTGATTCTATTGAGCAAACCTGAAGAAGCCACGAGCGAAATGTGTTGTTCGCTCTTAACAGTAATTCAGTGTGCGGTGGTTTATGTTGATGATTTTATCTGAGATGTTCCTGCGGTCGACCAGCACCTGATCCTTGAGACTGGCTGTGAAGAGAGAGTTCTGTTTACTTCTCATTTGTCCAGATTTATGTTCAGAACTTCCTAAACAAATGCATTTTGCATATAAGACAATGACACCTACGAGTAGTTCACCCTGAGAAAGCCTGAGTACAGGCATGCAACTGTTTTTTGTGAATGAGTTTTAATCGTAATGTAATAGCAAAAATGTATGTTTGGGAAGTACTGAGCATACAATTGGATAAATGAGACTTAAATTATACAACACAAGTTTGTGAATGTTCGTTAATGGATACTTTGATACAGTTTTGCTGTTGTTAAACAAGGCCCCCATTCACTTCAGTTCAAGAAGAATGTTCCCCATTTTTGGATTCTCCGTTCACCATGGAGGCATGCAAGAAAAAGTTTTCTGCATGATTCAAGGCAACACTTGGTGAGTAATTCATATACAAATGGTCATTTTGTGGGTGACATATTCCTTCTCATATGCTGTGTATGACTATCTGTCATTGATCTACTTATATAAGATTCTATTCTATCGTTTTCAAGTAGTACCTATAAAATGAGAACAGACATTGCCAGTGCAGTACTTGTTAATATATAGTATTTAGGTCCAGCAGTCTAAAGGTGCTGTAGAGAAAAAAATCATTGGATATCTTGGCAAGTGGCTGAATGACGCTTTTCAGTGCTGAAGACTATGTACTTAAGCCGGGCTCAGTCTACAGGAGTTTTGGGCCAATTTATCCCTGATTCACCCCTCCTAACAATCAGTGGTGATATCTGGTCTGGGACTTATCTGATATTTGATCAGCACTGATGTTCTGCCCAGATTACCTGTTAATGTGAGAGGTTTACAGATCCAGTCTTAAACCTAGGGAACTGCTCATAGACTCATTGGGACTGCCCCAATAATTTCAAACACATCGGATATTTAGGATTTAAAATCTACATGATTACAGTTATGATCACGTCAGTATGGACTGGAGCAGCGATGGGTGTTGCCGAGCAAAACTAAGCATTCTAGCTCTTCTTGAAGCTAATGTCAGTTAGCATAAATATGAAAATCTTAAATCCAGTTCTTGTCCTCCATGTTTGATACCATGTCCCCAACCATTCCCTCAAACAGACTGATTTAGCCCTCTGCTTTTGTCTGTCTCACTGCAAAGAATTATTAATAATACAGTAAGTTGTCGCACCACGTCAGTCTCCCTTTGGTTTACATTTGCTTCTCCATTAGATCACGTGAGGTGTTGCATTCATGCTCCCTCTGGCACGACAATCTAAATAACATCCTGTTGTCCGTCCATCCATCCATCCATCCATCCATCCATCCATCCATCTTCTAACCGCTTCATCCTCTTGAGGGTCGCGGGGCTGGAGCCTATCCCAGCTGACATTGGGCAAGAGGCAGGGTACACCCTGGACAGGTCGCCAGACTATCGCAGGGCTGACACACAGAGACAGACAACCATTCACGCTCACATTCACACCGACAGACAATTTAGTTATCAGTTAACCTAATCCCCAATCTGCATGTCTTTGGACTGTGGGAGGAAGCCGGAGTGCCCGGAGAGAACCTACGCTGACACGAGGAGAACATGCAAACTCCGCACAGAAGGGCTCTCACACCCGGGATCGAACCGAGAATGCTCTTGCTGTGAGGCGACAGTGCTAACCACCACACCACCGTGCCGCCATACATCCTGTTGTAGTCAACTTTTTTAGTGTTTGCATGTTTGTGTTTACGGAGAAAAACACCTGTGAAGTTCCTCCTTATGTGCAACATGCAACCCGATTTCAGAATCAGGATTTTAAAACTTTAACTCCTGAAGTGTCTCTTTTCTTAATAGATCTTTCTACTTCTTCTACTTCTAGTTCTTTCTAGAATTTTACTGTATACTACTCTATAAAGTATCAACCTATTTGTTATGATCTGGAACAATAATGTTAATATTATTGTTTTTGAAAAAAAAAATACAGAACAAGGAACATAAATGCACACAGATGATACTTTATAATGCAAAGAATCATTGATGACTGGTCTTATCATTGGTATTAATGGTTATGTTGTTCAAATTCTTTTTGCAGGTCATCTTTTTGACTGTTGCCAAAATGTGGAAAAGGGCGAAGAACGCAGGTCCCACCACCAACAGACAATGTACAGTACTAGAATCCTGCCTTCCTCTGCAAATTTCTCTTTTTTTCTACCAACTCTTGTTCTTTTTTACTTATTTAAACAATAATTAAGTGGTCTGGTGTCCATCTATTGCAAACATAAAGTGGTGCAGCAGCACACTGAACAGTGTCCGAGAAACTGCATTAGTTTAATCCTAAATATCAAAATAAAACAATAATTATATGCTTTCACTTTCATCAAAAATACTCTACTGCAGGCTTGGCAGTAATGTTTTGTAAAGGAAAAAACCTTCAGTGACTGAAACTGTTACACAAGTGAGCAGAACACATGATTATTTTTAACAAAAACAGACAACATTGTTTGATTCCATTGTTTGGTGGTGACTATCTGTAATGAAAGCTCACATTAGTCTTTGACATGAGCAAATCACTTTAATTACTGTCTCATATACAGATAACTGTGTGCAAGTTAATTCATCAATAAGAGTGTTGAAAAATGAGCTGCCACTAATCCTGCAAAAAACAAAACATATTGTTGGAGTCAACAAACAATTTCAAGGGTAACAAAGCTCTCCATGTTGTATACACTGACAGAGTGGTGCATCAAGACAGTGGCTTTCAACACTTTGAAACATAAAGTGGCTGTTATATCAGCAAATCTAGTCATATTCTGGCTTCAACACTGACATCTACATATACTGCACCACCGTGGTGCCCTGACGCTAAACATGTATTTGTTTAAAGCAGCAAGAATTAATGTTTTTATTATAACAATGTATTCTATGACAATGTGAAAACAATGTGATCATGTGACGCGTCCCTTGTAGTGATGAACCTGCAGAGGTGAGTTTCAGCTTGTTGTTGAGCTTTCCAGACCACAACTGTACTGTTTTGGTTTACTCTCACAGCCCTGTGTCGGCTGTGGCTGCAGCAGGTAGCTGTTTTTAGAGAAAAAGCTCTGTACTAGTGGCTGTTGCGAAAACCGCAATGTTGCAATACTGGGCTATAAAAAGCCAACTGCAGGGGCAGGACAAATAGCACATTGCTGAACAACAACAATGGAGAAAGAAATGAAAACTCAATCTACGTAGATTGGCTGGTCCGTTCTCTCCCTTCGTGCTTCAGCCTTCCCTTCATCCAAAGAAAGTACACAACAAACACTCAGCTAAAAAAAAAATGCTGCGTACCTTATTGCCCCCCATTGCCCTCCTGTGCTCTGCATTCAACTATGAATAAGTATTTCATTTGTATTAAAACTGTGTCGTCCTTGATCTTTAAAAAGCCACAATATACTTAATAATAGCCTGACAATAAAGCACATTTACACGGCACTAAAATAGGGATAAATTAAGTAATTTGTAAAAACAACAAAGAAGTGGGTGATGGTAATACAGCATGTCATGCTGTTGAGCCACCCTTAATCACCACAGGGGAAATTCCTTCACTTCAGCAGCGCTCTACTGTACAATACCCACTTAGCACCAAACTGCAGACAGACACAGTTAGAGACCAGTTGGTGAACATAGTGGAGCACATGGAGTTGGATTCAGGTGGACTACAATATTGCTTCATAACTGCTGGATGTGTAAATAAGGATGCTTCACACCTGCCCTGTTTGGTTCGGTTCAGTTGAACTCAAGTTTGTTTGCCCCCTAGGTGCGGTTCATTTGGGCAGGTGTGAACACAGCAATCACACTCAGGTGCGCACCAAAACAACCGTACTGAGGCCTTCTTGAAAAGGTGGTCTCGGTCCAGTTACAGTTCAGTTGTGGTGAGAACGTGTTCCGACCTCGATCTGAACCAACTGCAGTCACATGACACATTGTTTGGGTTCAACATGAGCATGTTACAGTCCTGGAGGATTATTAATGTGCACCTCCTCCTGTACTGCCTTAATATGCATATTCAGCACATCCAATGCATCAAAACATTGTTTTCTAGTTGGAGCCACGCCTCGTTTTCAAACTGTATGGTTTGACTAAAATGAACAATGACAGCAATATAGTCCACGATGAGCAGCGCTAAAATCAACCTGCGTAGTTGTCCCTCCATTGTGACATTACAAAGTGTCACATTTATCTTGCAAGTGTACTCTTCTTCAACGTTTTGTTTACTTCCTGGATTTTTCCCACATGGAAATTCTGACCAATCAAGAGCAGCTTTCTCACACAAGGTATTTGATCTGGTTTGTTTGTAAATGCTGCTGTGAGAACATGAACCAGCTCTAGGCAATTATACAACTTCATAACAAATGAGTCCCTAATTCAGACCAAAGCAAGACAACTCTAGGTCATTTGTCAACAGGTTTGCATCAAGCTCCAAGGTGTTAACATGTCGATGTTGTGTTACAAACATGTTTCTGCTGCCCCCAAATGGCAAAAAAAAAAAAAAAACAGGAACTGCAGGTTCACAGCTTTATCACTGAAACTACTTTAACATACACGGCACCTGTAAAAGCCAATGAAACATGAAAATATTCACTCCAGCCACATGATGCACAGCATCTTCGGTAACTTATAAAATTCATAGAAACTATGCCGGTTGGAGTTTGCCCAGCTGACAGGCACTTTGAAAAGCCAGTTGACTAAAGGTCTTCTCTCTCAGGCTTCACTGATAAACTAAGGGATGAGAAGAAAACATCCCTGGATTAAGGTTGCCTGCCTGCTGCCCTTTACTGTGACCCTCTCTGTGCTTCAGTTTATTCAGGCCTCTATGAGCTTTCCTTTTCCACATTATGCCTGACTGGGTCACTTCCGTCTTCAGTCTCTCACTCAATTACTTCTGTCTCTCTCTCACTTCTTTCCCTCGATCTCTATCCATCTATCAGTCTCATACACCAAAAAGTAAAAAGGCAAATAAATGCTTCACTGGGCGTGGATAATCATTTCTGCAAATATAAAGGAAATGCCTGCAGGACACAGCCTGTAATTTCACAGAGGCAGCTAATAACGAACAGCTTCTGTTGGACACGCATTGTATAGATACCCCACTTCATATCCTACAGCCATAGCATAGCATTCACTCATGTACCTCTAACTGATCTGGTGTAATTTCTTTTCACCCAGGTTTCTCCCTCGTTCATCAATACATTCAGCGTTTTAATGAGGTGTCTGGCAGCAAGTCAGGTGAAATAAAAGAGCCGGGCTTTTTTCTAGTAGACAAACATGGAATGTTTTTCTGAGGTCTCCATGCACTACTGTACTGTTTGAATGCAATACTGAGCTACATCCATTATTATGAATAATGGAATAAATACTGAATAATACATTAGGTATTATTGAATACTGTGTCTGCCTGTGGCCTGTCCTGTCTGTGTTGATAACATGAAATATCTATTTACTACCTTGTCAAATCATTCGCCCTCTGTTATACCTTTGACAGGGTGGCCGTTCTCCTATTTCAGTCCTTGTCATAATAATCATTAATCCCCGGATTAATGTTGTTCTTCATCGACTCCTGTGTGATCCTCTATCTTTGCACATCCAAAGCCTGATAAGAAAACATTCGGCAGCAAAGGAAGCAGGCAGAGGATCACAGCGTAGATTTCCTGCACTGCTGTTTGAAATGCCTGAGTGGATTTATTTGCATCGTTTTCATTTAACTTTGTGGACACTGTATTGAATATGCATACTAGAGCTGAAATGACTGGTAGACTGATTGATTAACTGGTCAACAGAATATTGATCTGCAACTATTTTGATTATTAATTAAAACTTTTGAGTCATTTAAAAAGGGACAGTTCACCCCAAATCAAAATCCCCATTAGTCTAAAACATCACTATCCTAATTGATGCTAGTCATCAATAAGCTGGCACACATGCAAAACAATAGCTGACACTCGGCAGCGATCATTTTCTGAAGTGTATCTGAGATTTGTGTGCAACATTGCTCGTTCACTGAGTTGTCTGAAGGCTAATGTTAATGTCAGGACTCAAACACACTCACACACTCAAGCATCTCTGAGAATATGTTTGACATTCCTGACATCTGCTGGTAGCAAAAAATAAATCTGTTTATTTCTACCACAAGCAGCACGCTCCACTTGGTGTGACTATTTTTTGGTTTGTTTTAGTTTTAATTTGAGGTTGTAAAGTCCTTTACTATGCTCATTAACTAATATGGTTGTTTTTATAATTATTTTTGCTGGCTTTGTTTAGCTGTCATCCGGAGGAGATCTAAGACTCCTGGAGTAATGATCGTGCAGTATGTAGTGAACATACCAGAGGGAAAAAGCACCCCAGATTTCCAGAGTAAACCTGCTCCAGTAACTATTAAGGAAGGTGGGTTCACTATAGCAGAGCACTAAAACTGACACATCTATGCTACTGTATAGTCACTTAAAAGAGGTGCAAGACAATAAATGACTAATGTTCGAATTATGAAAAAATAAAGATGCAATATTCACATGTATCCCACAGGGAAATTAGCTGTTTTCAAGGTCATGGTGAAAGGGGATCCAAAACCAGAGGTGACATGGAGAAGAGCTAAAGCCCCTATATCAGACAAGCAAAAATTTCAGAGTAAATATGATGAAGCAACCGGAGAGCACATATTTGAGGTGGGTAAATAATTTCACAACAGTGAAAGCCCTTTGAGTATTTACTGCTCATACAGCACAGTAAATTTTGCGTTAAAATGTGTGAATCCAATCTGTGCATTTGACAACTTGCCATGTCGCATGTTATTTGTGTTTCTAGATTCACAAAGTGTCTGGTGCGGAAACAGATACATACAAATGCTATGCTGCAAATGAATATGGTAAAGCTGTCTGCACAACAACATTAAATGTGATTGAGGGTAAGAGTTCATGCAGTAAACATGATTGCGATTATTGGTTTTGATTGTGCATGTCACAGAATTGTAAAGTCTGTAAGTAATTATTGAAAAAAGGTGTAAAACAATGTGTAGTTCCCCTATAACTTATAACTACTTGACTTTAAATCTGGAGAATAGCTGTAAAAGACATAATTAACCAACTTGAGCTGCATTTGCTTTGTTTAGCTTCCAAAAACCCATCAGACTTCAGAAAACTGCTGCGGAAAAGGTCAGAAAACAGATATTATTATCAAAATAATTAACCAGATATTTTTGCATATTATGATTTTATCACTGATCCCTGTCTGCCCATAAACATGTTTTTATATTTGCCTGATATCTTTAGTAAAGTAGATGAAAAAGGAGACGGGGAAAATGATGAAAGATTCTGGGATGCGATGCTGAACGCTGACAGAAAGGACTACGAGCGCATCTGTTCTGAGTTTGGTGTTTCAAACTTACATTTGATTCTCAAGAAACTGGAAGAGAAGAAGAAGGAGAGGGCGCAAAATAAGTGTAAGGTACGGCTGGCTCTCAAAGAAGATGCATTATCTCCAGCTAAATCATCTGTGCAGTTCTTAAACAAGCTGTGATGGATTTGTTATTTCACAGATGTGGCAGAGATTAATAATCTGTTCATTCTGATTATTTACCCAATATAGCATCTTACTGTGCGTTGTGATAACTTCATCGTTCAAATGCAGTTAGAAGAATCAGAATCAGTTCAAATCTGCGTAAAAAGAACTGCATTTGAAATATTTTCTACTAAAAATGTAACATTCATTTCCATTTCTCAGTTCATCTCATCACTTCAGACTCTCTCACTCCCATGATGTCTCTGACTCCCATCTCAATCAGCTGTTTAATCTCTTTTCAGTATCAGAAAACAGGTATAATTATGTTTAAAAAAGATGGCTGCACTTTATCAGAGCTGGAAATTGAGCTTAATGATGCACAGTGAGACAGATTAAGAGGTCTTTAGCCTTTTAATTATTAAGTATTACACTGACTGTGTTTGTAATTGCTCCCTATTTGCTGCATAGTGTGTGAATGCTGAGAAATTAAATTCTGAATTGCACACTATATAGTGCCCTCAAAAATTCCTACAGTGAAGCTAACAAAGGAGTGTCTGTGGTATGTACACTGCTGTTTGCTAATGCAATGTGCCATATTTTAAAGATGGACTTCTCCTGGCACTGATAATGCAAAATGACAATTATGCATAAGTGGTAAATCACTTTACTGCTTACTAATGAGTAAATGTACAGTATTTATTACAGAGGAAGGAATGGCTTTTAAATGAGGGCCCTCCAGTGACATGATATTGATTGTGTACAATATTATATGTATTGAAAGAATCTTTTCTATCGTCATAATATCAAATATTTTTATTCTGTCTGTAACTCCTCTGTGTACTTGGCAGAAAGGAGCAATTCCCTATGATGAAGACACAACAGAGAGACACAGCCTGAAGAGTGCTGGGAGGTCGAAGGATCAAAATATTAAGGAGCTGATGCAAAAGGGCACGGGGCTCAATCAGGTGGATAAAGAGGGCAACCTCCTCGACACAGGGCTGAATCTGGTGAATGAAGAGGAGACACTTCTCTCCACAGAGTTCAAATGTAGGTTCAAGAAATACAATGGATTTTATCTGTTTAGAAATCAAACTATTGCTGTTGTCCATGTGTATCTATCCAGTGTGTCAATATCTGAAAATACTAATTTCAACAGTTCCTTTAAGGTCCATGTCATATTGGCAAGATTATCGTTTTAAAAACAGTTTTTAACTATTCAACAATGAAAAGGACAAAGGTCTTGTAGAGTTATTCCTTTCCTCGCTTAATCTCTAATAATGTCACTACATGCTCTAACTGTATTACTTCAAGCCATCATACACCAAGTCTGTATTTTTCATCCAAAATTGTCACATGGTTAAAAATAAATACCGAACTGCAGAATCGTTTTTCACATCAAAGTTGTTTGGGACAGTTGTCCAACCAAGAAAGAGGCAGTGAAGAAAATGTGGTGGCGGGACACATGCGCAATACAAGAGAGGAACAGGGTGCATGGTTCGATTTCATAACTCACCAACAGGTCATATAGTAATATTCAGGTGGATGATGATGATGGGGATATTTTAGAGGATGAGGACTGCACACAGACAGAGAGGGATTAAGAAAGTGAGAGACAGTGTGGATACGGAGAGGGAGGACAGCTCAGCCCCTTTAGGAAACCACAGTGCCAAATGCCAGAGGTGTCAAGAGAGTGGCAACAGCGAGGGAGGTAACTCTAGTGAAAAGAAGCATGGTTGCTCCCTTGCTTCTTGACATTTTGTCATTAATTGTGTATTTTCTAGGGCTGTACCCGACTCAGAATTATGATAGTCTAATCGGATTTGTCCATTTAAAACAAATATTCAACTTTTTGTTCTATTTAAGTTTTAAACTTTGAACAGAGCTCAGCGGGGCTTACAGTGTGACAACAGCATTCATGTAATAGAGTAAACAAGCTAACTGTTATAACAATGGATTGAAAATGTGCAACATTTTTTGCCAACACTAGATATCAAACAAAAGCCAGAGACTGTCTCATATTGAGCAGGAAATTCACCTCTTCCAATGAGAAGAGAGAAGATTATGTTATCTCGGTCCCTTCCTCTGTGCTGCTGCTTCAAGTCCGCAGCTGTATTTACCAAGACAAGAGCGCTCACACTGCAGCAAAATCTGGGGACCAAAACGTTCCCAGGAGTACAATGCACAGCACACTGACTAGCAATAAAAAATAAATAAATAAATAAAAAAAAATGGCTGCTTGACTTGAAGCAATCTCAGTTGACTGAGGGGTTTCCAACTAATGATTCCAATCTCTAACTTTCAAGGGGCAGTCTGAGTTTTTTCTGCAATGATTTGAACAAAACAAAAAAAAGAAAAACACATCAGACTCAGTGTGGAAGGTTTCTGTGCATAACAATTATTATCAGATGACCGATTTAAAAAAAACATACAAAAATAACAGACTTGGCATGCAAAGGGCTTTACACAAAAGTAAGAAAAGTTGATTTATTAATACATATAGATTTTTCTGCTTCAGAGATGATACACTACACAAACACACACACACTGTACGGGTCTACACGTACAGTTGTGTAACAAAAAGATATATGGTTTGGTTCACTGACTTCTTTGTGTTGCTTTTACAGTTTCCAATGTGGACTTTGTGATCAAAATTCAGGAGCTAAAAGTTCAAGAAAGAGAGGATGCCCTCTTTGCATGTGTCCTGACACACCCACTCCCCAGGATCACATGGATGGGCAAGGGCAGCACCCTGGAGGATGGAGAGAAATACAGCATAACCATGTCAGACCACAAACTGATCCACAGGCTGCTGATCAAGGACTGCACCCAGCTGGACAAAGGCATCTATTCAGCTGTGGCTGGCATAAAGTCCTGCAGTGCCTGGCTGGTTGTTCAAGGTAACACCTTACAATATAGTACACCAAAAACCAATTTGTCACTGTGTGCTGAAGTGATCCTAATTGCTGCCACAATCATGAGTGATGTGTCATGTATGTTGTATTTCAAATCCTCTAAGCTGAGAGTGACCCTGCATCTGCTGGACAGAAGAGAGCTCGTAAAACTACCTTGGCTGGTGGAGCACGGATCGACCTTGAGAAGGTGGCCAGAGAGCAACAAATAAAAAACAGAGAGGAGATAGAGAAGATTTTAGCAGCTGTAAAAGTAAAACACGGAGAAGGACAACTGAAAGAGAGAAAGACTTTAATCACAAATGGAAGAGATGGTGAAATAAGTGCAGCCACTGGACCGGGTAGAAACAGTGGAGCAGTAAACGATGACATGCCTGATGCTGTAAAAGCCAGCACCCTGTCTGAGCCAACAGGGAGCAAAGAGAAAGCCAAGATCAAAAACTCAGGAGGAAATGGCACAAAAACAAAATTGGATGTTTCAGGGTGTGTGACACAAGAAGGAGCCAAGATCAAAAACTCAAGAGAAAATGGCACAGAAATAAAATTGGATGTGTCAGGGTGTGTAACACAAGCAGGAGCTCAACAGATAGTAGATGACCCCAAGAACAAGAAACACAGCAGATCTGGTCAAGCGGATTTTGACAAGGTAACAGGTAAAGTCGATCTATGCCTAACAATGTATTTTCACCATAAAAGTTGTGCTAATGAAAAAGAAATGCAGACTTGCTGCTACTTTACTTTTGTTATTTCAAAAGAGGAAGAGAGTGGATTAACTTTTGTCATGCTTGGCTGTCAGCTTAAAACGGTCTTTGCCCTTCAGTGTTTGGGTTACGTGTCACACACTGTGAAGGGTGCTTTTATGTAAACACTGACTTATAGCTGTATGTCGGCTCCACACAAGTGGCCGTTTTGAGCATTTAACATTGTGCAGTGGGGTGTCACTCTGCAATTACACCTCTAAAAAGCTAAGTTTCTGTAAAGTGCAGTAAAGTTTGATTAAAATTAAAGTTTGATTAACTGAAAATACACCTCAATCACATATAAAACATGACTTAATAACAATAACATTAAGCAAAAGTACAAAAGTCTGCTCCATTAAGGTTCACAAACAAAACAACTGCCTTTTAGACATGTTTTCCCCACAAATACAACATGCTTATCTTGTTAGCATAAGCCTCTGACATTTTACATTGCATAAATTAGCCTACCTGTCAGCGGACTTTTTCCTCTTCTCATATGAAGCCGGTAACAAAAGCAACATTCAACAAAGGTAACATTACAAACTTTAGCTCCATTATAACTCACAATGTTCTCCAACAAAACAACTGTCTTATGCAAGACACCTTCCCCCCCCCCACATATACAACATGCTAATCTTATTAGCATAAGCCTATGACAGTTTACATTGCATAAATTGTTAACTTATAAAGCTCTAAATGGTCAAGCTCCGTCATATCTTAGAGAGCTCATAGTGCCATATTATCCCACCAGAACACTGCGCTCTGAGAACGCAGGGTTACTCGTGGTCCCTAAAGTCTCCAAAAGCAGATCAGGAGCCAGAGCCTTCAGCTATCAGGCTCCTCTCCTGTGGAATCATCTTCCTGTTACGGTCC